AGAAGACAATCTATTCGTTGTTGAAACATCTGAATTTTTATTTCGACTTGTTGGAACGGTACACTTAAGGGACTCTTTTAGTCCCTATTATCAAGTATTAAAATGGCACTTTTGCTCGCTATGCAATAAAAATTTATTTTTAATCTCTATTTAGTAGAACTGTATTAAGTATAGTATACTTTTAATTCCTAGGGATTGAAATTACGATATTCGTCAATTCTGTACATTGCATAGTGCACTAAAATCGTCAATGCTTTCTTATTACAGTACTCTTAAGAGATTTTTTTTATAATTTTCAATATTTTTTAAACTTTTCTTTTTTAAAAGAGTGCATATTTGTTGTAAAAATCACAAATATTTTATTAAAGAAAACAAAATCATATATAAATAGGAAATACAGCGGGGTCCATATGCATGAAATAAATAATACATTTTTAGCGTTATTTCATACTTTTGGGAAAAATCTGAAACAGTTCGATTTCTATATTTAATTTGACAATTTATAGTATGAAAATATTACCCCTCTTGTACCCTTTCTGAATTATGTGCGCCCTTCTGAATTATAAGCACGTCTTTGAAAATATTTAATTTTACCATTATAAAGTTTTTTGATAATGTCTCCATCACAAACGTAGAACGATATAAGAATATTGCATAATATTAAGAGTGAATTTTTCAATTTATTTAAAATTAAATTAAATGTTCAAAATTACAACCATGATAGAATTCTAACAAAACATCTGCTGTAAATTTTTCGGTTATCCTAACTTTTAAAACTAAAATTGTTTCTGGCCTGTTATTTGATTTTAAATAGCCTCATAAAGATTTAGGTGGCTATTTATTCGTATCAAGCCACCTATTGGGAAAAAACAACGTTTACATAACTTATAACTCTACGTTTATAATGCGGTGGAGCTCCATTTTGTTGGTACCAAATTGATCTATCTGTTTCATTTGGATGATTAACATCAGGAAAAAGTCATTTTAAAAAGTGAATCAAAAAAATCTAGATGACCGGTAACTTTTTATAGGATATTTTTAATTCGTCCCTTTAGTGCAACAACTAGATAGGTAACTTGAAATTTATAGTTTTGAGAAAATCCACTTTAAAGATTCAAAACGCAAAAAATACACCTGTTAAGTAATCAAGATATGTTGCATATCAAATTATGATTTGTTAATTTTGGAAATAATTAGGTTTTATATCTTTGCAGAATTTAATCAAAAACTTGAGATATCTAGTTGTTGCTGAAAAAAAAAAAAGTAAAGTTATCTATTTATAACCATTAACAATTAAACGCAAATCACCTAATAAATACAACTTTATTTTGAATAAAAAATTAACAAGATTAGTTTAAATAAAACTCAAAAGATTTTACCCTTGATACAACTTAAGTGTCAATATCAATGATGTCGGTTTGGGAATCTTCCATGTTTTAAGGCCGTTTACGTTGGTCTCCTTGGGATGGAAGACTTTCAAAAATGCTTTATACTCGCTAGGGAGGGCCGGAGGATTCATTTTGAATAAAGACATATGGTCGTCATATTTTTTTTTAAGTGGTAGTTGACTTTGATACAAAGGCTCTTGGGTATTATTTGAAGACGACATACGTGTTTTACGTTTAAAATTTGGACATCTAAACTCCCCATCAAAATCTTCTATAAAATTAATAATAAATGGCGTCGATTTTGAAAAGTTCAACCAGCATATTTTCTGCCTACTAACCAAGTTATGGCTTTTAAAAAGACACCGTAAAAACAATGTAGCAGCACAGAAACAAAACTGTTGTTTCAAGCACACAACTAGATATCTCATAGCGACCAAGAAGGTGCCGGCAGATAACTCAATACTAAAACTAGATATCTCAAGACCTCCAGTTATAAAATGTATATATTGGGAGTTATCTGTTTTTAGTCACTCTTCAAAAATAGGTTCGTTGCTCGTACATGATATACAGTTTTTGCATTGAAAAGAGTATGAAAAATAGGACAGATTAAACTGGATAACTCAAAATGCATAAAATGCATAAATTTCAAGTTATCTAGTTGTTGCACCAAGGGGGCGAATTGTTTTATAGAATTTGTTAACCGCTCCGTTTGAATGGAAAGTCGCTTTACTAGAAAAAACAATTTTGTTTATAAATTGCAAATCTGCTTCCTTCATCAATTCACAGAATTCTTGTCTTCCAAAAAGATCATCCGCATTCAATTCTTAAGCCAACTGAACTTTGTAAGGATGGTATTATTCTATATGTAATGATCTCAAAATCTGGCTATTTATCAGGAGTTAATAACCTGTTCAGTTGAAGCTAGTTACCAAGTTGACACAATTACCATCGACCTCTCTAAGGCGTTCGATAGTGCGTGTCAGCAGTAACTTTTAAAGAAACTATGCAAAATTGTATTAGGTAATTATCTGAAGTGGATTAAATCTCATCTTATTAACCGTCGGCAAAGTGTTACAGTGAGTGGTTCTGGGTCGCAGGAAGTGACAATGTCTTCGGGTATACCACAGGCTTTACATATTCACCCTATTTTATATTTGTTGTTTGCAAATGATGTAGTGTCCTGTTTTGAAAATTCTCATTCTTTTATATGCTGACGGTTTAAAATTGTTCGGTATTGTGAAACCTTCTCTTTCCATGTTGATACTATCGTTATGAGGGCGTTTAGGCTATTGGAATTCATAAAAAGAAGCACAAAGCATATACAGGATACTAAAGCAATAACATGTTTGTACAATGAATTGGTCTGAAGTTTTTTAAGAGTAATGCAGTACTGTTTGGTCTCCGTAAGAAGATGTTTATGTCAACCGAATCCAACACATTTTGTAAATATTTGCTATTTAAGTGTCACTTTCCATATCGGAATTTGTCCTATGAAACGAGACTGTTACTCTGTGTTATTCAGAATCTTGAACGGATACAATGTTACGTTTTCTCTACAAAATAATTTGTAGACAATATTTGTGAAGAATAGTTGGTTCAAGTTAACTTCGTTGTCCCCTTAAGGCGTACTCGAGAGACACAATTATTTTTTGAGAAAATCTATCGTACAACCATCTGTTACGCTGGTTTTTGGTAATTTATTTTATTTCAACTTAACTTTTACAGGCTGTAGTGTAACACTATACACAAATAGCTTTCATAAATTGGATTTTGCACAACTATAACATGCACTATTCTTTATCTAATCTATATTATAGAAATAGACAAAGATAAAATAGTTCAATACCATTTTCTCTTCTGTTTGTGAACCAATTTTCTTTTTTTCAGTATTGTTTAGTAGCTATTGACATATTATAAATTATTATTGATTAATAAAATTAGACTATAGCGATCATGAAAACCCTTAAATTTTGATCCGACATGAAAAATATTACATGGACGGATAGAGATTCGAGAAAAACAAAAAAATAACTTTTTACCCCACTCTTCCAACTTCACTTAAAAAAACTAAAAGCAGGACCGTAACGATTTCAAACTGCCCAACTTCCCTCCACCCCTACTTCATCCCCCCATCCCAGGAAAGGTCGATATATAGAAACCCTAGACTTAAAGAATTAAACTTTGGGTATGACGGATTGGACCCAAACGACAACTCACTTCACCCCCTCTTAATGTAAGCGGGATTTTTTCATAATTCCAGTAGTTTGAGATACTGGTTGTATAGATAATTAAAAAATTAGAAAAATTCGAAGAAGAGACCGATTTCCTTCCCTCAAGAAGAATAACCTCAAAATAAAGATTATGTTTCATATCATATAAATAAATGAGGGTTTTTAAGTTGTGAATTACTGTTATATTATTGAATTTATTTTTTATTTAATTATAATGGTATTGAACTCTGTTGTATGGTAAGTACACATAAAAGTTATACAATAAACAGGTGTATAAGAATACAAAAAAAAAAGTTAGAAACATGCAAATGCATATATGTTTTCTTCAAATTTTTAATAATGATTATGGTCGAATTTTGACCACTGCGCGAATACTAGTACTTTTAATTGTACGTTATGTGTTAAGAGGATGATCGAATTTTAAAATTTTAGATAGTTTTTCTAAATGTCTTGTGGTTTGATTGCCTTGTATGCTGTTAGACTTACTTTTTTTAGAGTTTAATGTATTTTAAAAGTGTTTTCCATTTGTATATTTAATTGTTCTTTTTAACCGACTTCAAAAAAAGGAGGAGGTTCTCAATTCGTCGTAATATTTTTTTATGTATGTTCAGCGATAATTATTTACCACTGTGTAATTGTGATTTTTTGTTAGAAAGGGGGTACTCCAGAGGTGGTCCCATATTAATTTGGTCAAAATTTAATAATTGGGTCCATTAGAAAATCCTCAAACTCTTCTTTTTTAATGTATGTTTAGTAGTAACTCTTTACCACCTTGTCCAATTTCTATGATTCTTTTTTTGTTATTAAGGGGGTACCGCAGGGGTGGTTTCATATAAATTTGATTAAGATGTGGTGACGGCATCTGCACGATTTTGAAGTCGGTTTTAAAAATTACTTTTAATATTTGTTATACTTTAATTATTGTTGTTTTGGTTCTAAAACTGTACCATTTGGAATTTTTGTATCTGCAGTATACTAAAGATAATAAATAAATAAAAATAAAGTAATTTACAAACAATCAGGTATATTTGACAACTGTCATTACGTAAACTTGTAAACAACTAGATTGAAATATCATCCAAAAATTTGTCGCAAAAATATAATCGCTTACTAGATAGGCTCAGCAAAAAGAGAACAGCCCTAGTATAAATTATCAAATTGAGAATAGGAATCGACTTGTTTCAAATTTTTTCCAAAAGTACATAATAACTCTAAAAATGAATGTATTCCACAAGTATGGACCGCACTGCAGAAAATATTACCTTAAAAGAAACACATGATGTCGAACACATCTTATAAAATACTCTCTTGTGATGTCGTAATCGCCTTCAATGTTATTATTAAGCTTCCTTAATTTATTATTTATTTTAATCATCTCAACCGTATTAAAAGCCAAAAAACATTTTTGGAGAATTCTGTATTGATTTGCAGCTGCTTCGCAAATGCAAAGAACTAAATCATCACTTCCCTGGGTTCCATAATTAATCGATAAGTGAAGAGAGATATATTGTATGGTATATAATATTTCAAATGTTGGTGAATCTCTCCAGGCTAGTGGTAGCTCGCAAGGAAAGGGCAACGCTCTTTCTGACGAAAGCAATGGTGATAATAAAACTAGTGGTATATAGGCTACACCTGAAAAAAAAAACAATATTTATTTATTTTTAAAAAGCTAAACAGGTTTTATAACCTTTTACTAAGGGTAGTAGGTACAATAAATGTTATTTCTAAATTGCATACAGAGCTAGTAGACCGTCAGTTAGTGACCGATTTAGGTGCCCCATTTTCGCATATAAGCCTCGAAGAGGGTTGAAAAGTACATCGATGCAGTGTACAATAAAAGAAAATTTACGAGTGGCTCTTGGGGATGACACAAGGAAAATTCGATTTTCATTAAAAGAATAATTTTCCGACCCCAAAATGCACTTATAAATTCGGATCATTCAAATCAATATGTTTTTCGGACGAGTGTCGATGTACGTTTTCATACATTCGATGGGCTTGTGTGGAAAAATCTAGTAAAATCTCGATTTTTCCTTAGAAGATTACGCCCTTATTTAAACCCTTTAGCCACTTCCCAAGCAGCAAGGTGCCGTCATTATGACGTGATTTTTTGGGTTTACTCGTCAGAAACGTCACTATCCCAATTGATGACGTTACTTTGACGTCGTTTTTGTAAGTAAATTAGACGTCAAGACAGACTCGTCATTATGACGTAATTTTTTAGTATTAATTTATCCGAAATTCAATATCCTAATCAGTAACGTGTGACATAGAATAGACGTCACTTAGAATTCGTCATGCTTACGTTATTTTTTCGTATATTTCTGGCAATGTCATATGTCAATTGTCATTGTTGTTTCCTGTTTCCTCCATCTTGTGACAGCCGTGACTTCGTGAACGTGGTGCATTTTTAAATTGTACTTTATTTGATAAGATGTTTTAGAAAAAGGTAAGAAATAGAATGTGACAAAATAATAAAGTATATTAAACCGAATTTGGTATTTTACAGATGTATGGCATTGTTGAGTTTGAAAAACCGGATGATGACGTTGTGGCGGTTATGAGGTGAGCAGAAAATGGCTGATGCTGCATAAAAAACAAGTCTTGGCCGCCTTTATAAAGAAATATATAAAGAAATATAATATAAGACTGGTGAGTAATGTTATACTTTTATTTTTTGATTGTGAGTTCTTTCAGGGTATTTTTTTAATAGTTTATTTAAAAATAAAAGTCACTTGATTTAGATATCTACCTTTTATCGTCTCACAGAATAAATAGGATATGATCTTTTTTTTAAATAACTTTTATTATAAACTCAGACTATATGTATACCTCTGAGAAGGTAGTTTTTGGGGCTACTACTTCAATCTCCGGTGAAGTAATCTCCTCAGATTTTACCACTAGATACACAATTTACTTTCTATCTTCAAGAATTTTCAGTGGTCTGTATTTTAATAGTTCTTTTATTTTAGATGATAATGATAAGTGATGCACCAAATTAAAAACAGTCGAAATTACCTTAGATCTACATTCCGAGGCTGATACCTACTAAAAGAAAACAGGTGCCAACTAGAAAGCTGTCATTCGATGATACTGAAGATGATTAAATCGTAAAGCATGCTCGCCCACCCCCAATTAAAATTAAATCTACAATTTTAGGTATGTTGTGTCAGTTTCTTTAATATTCATTTTTATTTTATTCCTTTTGGTTTCTTGCACATGACTTTTTTATTTAGCAGTGTAATTTATTTTTTATAATATATTTTTCATGTGTTTTTTGGATTAAATAAATAACTTTCATCTGCTTAGTGTTTTTAATAATTCCATCCAACCTTGGGACACCCAATATAGACGTCACTTTGACGTTAGATAGATTCGTGATAATGACGTCAATTTGCCTAGCCTAGGACATCCGATATACACGTTACTTTAACGTGATATCGATTCGTCAAAATAACGATATGGAATGACGTCATTTCGCTGTGACATTCTCACGTTACCATAACGTTATTTTCACGTCATCAACGTAACGCACACCAAAAAATCACGTCATAATGACGGCATGATGTTGCATGGGTTGCCTAGTGCCTAGTTCTATAAATTAATTATATAGAAAAAACGGCTTGCGTAAAAATATGGGCAAGAAATAACCTTTCATTTTTGTTAGGGAAAATCGAATTTTCCATGTGTTATCCCCAGGAGCCACTCGTAAATTTCCTTTCATTCTACTCAAAATCGATGTACTTTTCAACCCTCTTCGAGGCTTGTATGCGAAAATGGGGCACCTAAACCTGTCACTGTCTATAGTATATGGTCTGGTTATTTGCTTTATATATTACTTATATTAATAATGAACACATACATTTTTTTAAACACAGAAATAATGCACACAAAAAAATACAAAAATAACACAGCCTCTTTTATATATTAAAATCTGTATCGCGGTAAACAAGGACAAATAATGTCAAACTCCTTGTAAATCTAATACAATCTAGTAGTGGTAGCTAGGGTTGGCGATTATCAAAATATATAATCAATTATTTTCGATTAATCGATTAATCTATTATTCGAAAATAATTGATTAATCGAAAATAATCGATAATTCGAAAATATTCGATTTATCAAAAATAATCGATTAATCGAAAATATTTGAATAATCGATTATTTTGCTCACCCCCAGTGGGAGCCACTCCGTATCTTTATGAATTGTATAGGACCTTTTTTTTATTTATATATAAAAGATAATAAAAGAATTTGATCCCTTTAAAAAAAATATATAAATTTTTTTAGGACTGTTTTAAATAGTTTCCTTTTTAACAAAATGAGACTACATTGACCCCTGGCAAACTACAATTATACAATATATGGCATATTTTTAAAGGATTGTTACAAAAATATTTTAATCACTATCCAAAGTAAGCTTTTACGCTTCGAAATACAACCGCAAAGTTGACGTTTTTCGCGAACAGTCATTAAGTGACAGCTTTGTCGGAAAACTTAACAGCTTTGTTGCTCGCCTAATTTAAATTAGATATAATATAACAATATAACTTCTCTTTAATAATGATTTTGAAGTTATTTGTACGTAGCTTTGTTATTTGTTTTATTATCCAAGTTTACATTGACTTTGAATATCAACTTCTTTTTTCATGAATAACGTAGATATAGGCAACACATTATACACTACTTACGATAACTTTTCAGTTTTTATATCTATTTCTTTAAATAATGTAATCGTAGAAAAAATGTTGTCTTGTAGCGTACTACTAAGTATGCAATTAACTATACATCGTTGTAGCGTACTACTAAGTATACAACCAACTATACAGGGGTCTTGGGACTAGCGGGAAGAGGTGGTGGACAGAACCTATCAAGAAACGACACGTCGAGAGTTCGCTCGGTGCATGATTCTAACAGTTTGCCTTTGTTTTATCAATACGTTTTCTTTAAAATATAATTGTTATGTTTGGTGTTTTGCATTAAATAGCTTTCCTATTTCATGGTGTTGATTTTATTGTGAGAGTGAAAGAACACCAGGGAATACACCCCTACAACTGGCAGCCCGACGTGAAGCCAAGAAAAAGGAAAGTACCTATTTTCTTCTAACAGGTATTTTTAGTTCTAAGAAAACTATAGACTTTATTTTACGAATGGTTGTAGTTACCAATCGTTAGTGAAAAGTACTCATTTATTATAAACAAGGAAAACTGTTCAGATTCCCAAGACAAATTCAGAATCAGACATGCTAAATTATAGTTATTTCGTTTAAATAGACTTGCCGGTCGCAGTAACTGCAATTTAATTATTATTACATGTTATCAATTCGTCATTATTAGCTGTGATCAGTTAATCAGTTTGTTTTATGCTTCTTTATTATATTATTTGGATATTCGACACTCTACGTCGTTCGGACCATAACTGTTGTTTAATGGTACTGTTGTTACCGTCAGTTGAACCATAACTGTTGTTACTGCTGTTTGGACCAAAATATTTAAAATATTAGACAATTCATTTCGTGATCGCGTATTTATGAACTTTTCTAAATGAACTGAGTAGGTCAGATCCGATATCGAACCGCGAGTGTTTTATGAACTTTTCTGGCTAAACTGAGTAGGTCGAAGTCTTTATTGTACCGCGATAGTTTTAATATTGAACTTTTTAAGTGAATTGGGTATATTACAACGTAACATACTTTAGTAATCTAAGAACCGGTCTCATTTGGATAAAGACATTATAAATCAAAAAGTTATGGCACCCAACAAGCTGGCTTTCCAAGCTCAAAGTAAACCGGTAGTTAATCAGCTGGTGTTGACTCTTGAAATATTACAAGATCTCATTGCAAGTCTTACAACAAACACTGTAGCCTCGGCAGATAAAAATGCAAATTTTTCAGTGTACAACTCGTTTTTCCGGCAAAGCTGGTGAGAATGTCGAAGCTTTCATTGATTCTATAACAGTTTACAAAGAATGTGTAAATATAACATCCGAAAATGCTTTAAAAGGTTTGTCCATGCTCCTTACGGATAATGCTGCTACTTGGTGGCTTGGCATAAAGACATCCGTGCAATCATTCGATGAAGCGATCATATCCCTACGCCAAATATATAAAGAGTTATTTTCAAAGGAACAAGGTAAGGACGAACCGACAAACATCTTTATTAGTAATGCCCGTGCGTTACGTGCACAATTACCCGCTCAGCCTATTGTCTGTGAAGAAATACAGCTAGATCTGGTGTATGGTCTTCTTAACTATAAAATTCGAGAAAGAATGCAACGGGAGAAAATTAAAACGTTCAAAGAACTAATCGAGACTGCTCGTACGATTGAACAGACATTATTTGAAAAGAAAAATATGGTCTCAATCGGCTCTTCAAACATTGATACCAATCAAAAAAAGTCAAAGTCTCTAATATGCAACTACTGCAAGAACTTCGGTCATGTTAGAGAAGAATGTAGAAAATTGGCGAAAACTCGGCAAGATCAAAGTAACCAAAAACGATAATGCCTATGAAGCCCGAACCTTTGAGAAAACGTCTCAGCCAATTAGTGCAGATCAAGAAATTAATAGGCTGATTTGTTACGGATGCGGCAAACCCGGATTCATTCGAAGCAATTGTCCCCAATGCAAGCCA